AACCTGCTTTCAACCACCCCAATCACCGGGAACCTGTCCCCGCACATCAAATGGAGTGGAACCAAAGGGGACACCTCCATGCTCCGGGTATGGGGGTGCATGGTTCAATACCGCCCGCCGACCTCAACCATCGGCAAGTTCGCCAGCCGCGCACGCTGGGGAATCCACCTCGACATCAGTCACGAGCACAAGGCGTGGATCGTGTTGGACCTCCTCAGCCAGAAAACCACTCACGCTCGCGACGTCGTCTTCTACGAGCGTCTCTTCCTCGACCAGTTCCGCCGCGACGAGCAGACAAACGCGAATCGGGTCTACGCCAACGGCGGCCACAGCTACGCAACGCCCGAAGACGAAGCCGCTGCAGCAATCTTGGAGTAGGACACAAGGGGGGATTTCGCATGGGAAAACCAGCGCAGCGACGACGACGATGATTCCTCAGGAAGAGGAACAGGCGGAGACGGAACAGGCGGAAGTGGCACAGGCACAACACCGCCAGCACCTGAACCGGAGAGTGACGACGATGATGTGCAGGAAGTCATCCTGCAACGTCGCCACGACAGCACCATCTCAGGGCTGCAGCTGCTCGGACTTCACACCGCAACCTCGCAGGCACCACGCATCATCGAGCCCCGAAACCCGCGCGAAGCACTCTCTGGACCACACAGCAAGGAGCGGCGTGAGGCGATGGACATGGAAATCAAGGCACTGGAGTCACGCGACACCTGGGTGCTCGTTGATCGCGCAACGATCAAAGGCGCAAGAATCCTCTCGGGGAAGTGGGTCTTCCGCGTAAAAACCGCAGCGGATGGGACGATCGAGCGCTTCAAAGCGCGTTGGGTGGTTCGCGGCTATGACCCGAGGCATGGGATCGACTTCGACCAGACGTTCGTCCCAGTCAGCCGCCACACCTCCGTCCGCATCCTGCTCGCCATCGCACCTGCAAGGCACCTACCACTACGTCAAATCGACGTGAAGAACGCGTTCCTGTACGCGTTAGTAGACGCCGTGATCTACGTGGAACAGCCACACACCTACGGCGAAGGAGACTCGCGCGTATGTCAGCTGCGCAAGTCACTCTACGGGATCAAGCAGGCCCCAAGGCTGTGGCAGCAGTACCTGCATAACATCCTGCTTGAAATCGGGCTCAAGCAAATGCCACACGATCCAGGGATGTACCGCCGCGATTTCCGTGGCGAATACATCCTCCTCACTATGTACGTCGACGACCTGCTTTACACAGGCTCGAACAACGAGCTCCTCCAGCAGTTCGAGAAGGCTCTGGCGGGGCGCGTCAACATCACATGCAACTACGAGGTGAAGCAGTTCATGGGCCTCAACATCATCTACGCGCCTGAAGCCATTCCCCTTTCAGCGGCTAAGTACGCAGAGGAGTTAGGGAAGCAGTTCAATATTTCACCTGCACCTCTCTCAACTCCCTACCGAAACCCCGGACCGAACTACAAACCCAACGCCAAAGCCCTATCCCCCGCTGGGATTCAGACTTATCAACAGCAGTTGGGATGCCTCCTCTTCGCCTCTGTCACCTGCAGGCCAGACCTCTCGTACATCGCAAGTCAGCTGGCGCAGTACTCACGCAAGCCAACGGCTGAAAATCTTCTGGACCTACAGCGCGCCCTCCAATACTTCGTTTCAACGCCCAATATTGGGCTGCGTTACTCAGCTGCACCAACCCCATCCTTCAATCTCACCAGCTATGTGGACGCCGATCACGCAGCAGATCCCGATAATCGACGGTCCAGGACTGGGTTCCTGTTCCGACTCGAGCCTACGAGACCAATCTCCTGGAATTCACAGAAGCAGGAGTTGGTTGCCCTGTCATCAGCCGAAGCGGAATTCATCGCAGCAACCGCAGCAGTTCGCGAAGGCCTCTATCTGCAGGAACTCCTGCAAGAGGCGAAAATTCCAGCTTCGCCGACATTTCGTCTTCACTGCGACAACCAGAGCGCGATTCGCATCGCGAACAAGCCTGGTTTCGTTAACCGCACCAAGCACATTGTGCTGCGGTACTTCTTCGTGAAGGACGAAGTGGACAAAGGCAAGGTCAACTTGACCTACTGCCCAACAGGTGACATGGCAGCAGACTTTCTCACGAAGCGGCTGCCACGCCAGCAGTACCAGCACTGCTCCGAACTCAGCGGCGTGGTCAAGCAGGTCAAGCCAAGCTACGGCCAGGAGTGAAGGGGGGTGTTACGAATAGTAATACCCGATATTACTATGCTCTCCTCACCGTAGCAAGGAACACACAATATCGGGAATGAACGCAAGCGTCAGACGGTTGGAATTGAGTCAAAGAGTCGGACGGTTACAGCACATCTGAACCGTCGGAAGAAAACGGCATCGGACAGCCGCAGGCAGGATGGTTTTGGCGGGAACAGTTACGAAACTGTACGCGCCGAACGGTTGGGATGCAGTTAATAAGGGAATGTACCCCTTAGAGTACATGGCTAGCTAGGACGTTTCAGATTCCCTTGTGCTCATATTTATACCGCCGTATTTGCATGTTTTCATCATCTCAAGCATTTTACATTCACTCTGCTATTGAGGTCAAGGGCCCACCAACACTATCTCACTGCGAGCGAACCTTCCAGAGTAGGCTACGATCAACTTCTGATCGTAGCACGGCGGACCCAGAATCTATAGGCCTGGTACTAGCGCTGGACCAGACACGGACTGGTCGGCCTGATGTGTCGTGCTTCGAGCTGCACAGTATTTGCGAGATGCAGCAGTAGCGACGAAGTTGAAATCGAGTTACCCGTTTTCTTCGTCTGCACAAAAATCTCACGCGAAACTTACAAAACAAGAAATTTCGCCAAAACAAATGTTTCCCCACCCACTGTTTACGGACCAGGCGCGGACTGGTCTGGAGGGCCAAATAAATGGCACCGTTTTAGTGCCATTCGAACGGTACAACGGGGTTACAAGCCCCACATCCTGATCCCGGTCCGCCCTGGTTCACGCGCTTTTTCTTGAGCTGGTCCGTCAGGTCCGAGCCGTACCCACGTGGACTCAAAGATTTGAGACACCCTCTGAGTCTTCCACGTGGAAGCCTTGAAGGGAATAAGGGCGTGTTCCTACGGCCCCTGATCAGGGCAACCTCTTATCAAGCTCGCTACTTTTCCTCCTGAAAATTCCCTAAACCCAAAACCCTCGCTACTTTTACCAGGCAAGGCTGACAAGAGGTTTGCCAGATAAGAGCGTAGGAACACGCCCTAAGGGCGTGTCACCTCCAGGTTCGAACAGGCCTCTCGTTCGAACAGGCCTCTCGTTCGAACAGGCGAAGTGTTACATGCTTCGCCAGGATTCGTAAGCCCCTAACGACGTCGCGAACCAGAAGTTTCGCCAATTCGAACAGCGCTGTCACATCACGCACGCTGCCAAATGTGTTGCACGTTCGAACAGCGCTGTTCGAACAGAAAATGATAGTAGCCCCCCTCTCAGCACGGACGACGCCTCTGATTGAACAGCACTCCGCACAGTCGCTAGCAAAATCGCTTCTCACCGGAAACTGTCGCAGTGCATCGTAAAGGGCAGTGTAGCTGGGAAATAAAATCGTGAGCACCAGTAGAGGAGTACGGGGAGACATTGTGACTGGATGGGCGAAAATGGGTCAAACTGGAATGGCAGGCGACTGAAAGATCTTCTTGCGACGCTTAACGACGTCGCCCTACTATGGGCGACGTCGCCCTACTATGGGCGACGTCGCCCTACTATGGACGACGTCGCATGTTCGAACAGGCTGCGTGTTCGAAAAGAGAGGGTGTCACCTCTGTTGACGAGCTGTCACATTCAACGGAGTGCTCAAATTTTTGTTCAGACACTGTTCGTACAGTGAATTCGTTATGCATGTTCGGATTTGGGCCTCCCAGCCCTGAGGCTTATCACGCCCTAATTCACGTTCCAAGAGCAAAAGCAACCACGACGGGAGTCGAACCCGCGACCTTTCGATCCGAAGTCGAACGCGCTAATCCACTGCGCTACGCGGTTACATATTTGGATCGGGGTTGTTTTTCTCAGTCGTTTTTCAGCCTTCTGAAGAATCTAGATCCTTCCCATCCCGATTCCCACCATTCGCATCGCACTGACTTCGTGTAACTCACCTCTCTATGCCTTCGCTGGCACCTTTCTACAGCTGGTTTGCCAGTCTGCAAGCTTCCAGAGATTCTAGTGGCCTGTACTTTGTTCTGGTCTGCTGTATCCGCGCAAGCTTCACTTGTCTGTATCCTTGCCTGTTCTTCTAGGCCATTCCCGAACCCCATGGATCAACTTACGAGGCGCTTCCCACGGCGCGCTGCGTCCTCGTTTGTTTATATTTATCCGTCGCATTCCACGATGAATTCACTTCCAAACGCTTTCGATTCCACCATATTCCTGTGCTTTTGCCGCAAGACATTTTCGAGCTTCCGCATTGATCCAGGCTGAATCAGTCTTAGGCCGAAGCAACATATCAAGACTTGCTCATTTCGACTACTACCAGCAGTATCAGCACAGAGTCACCACTAAGGCGACCGGTTTCCGCGCGTCAAGCATATCAGCACATCACCGCGTGCTTTCGGCTCTCCGGTCAATCGAGGCGATTCGAGCGAAAAAAGTCCTGGTTACACGGCTGAGCGTGGTTGGGAACGGTCCGGGACGAACTCACTTCAATGGGACGCGGCGGCGGCGAGCAGATGTCATCATCTCAGCATCACTCCACGAAAGGAGGAGCCACCGTCGTTCCTCCTCCTCCGTTCCTAACTCAACTGAAAAGTCACCTGGGAGGCGAAAAGGGGTCATCATTAGAAAGTAACCCCAAGACGGGACCCGCCGTCGGTTCCCCCCCTCCTCCGCCTCCTCCTCCGTCTCCTCGATTTCCATCCTTCCGTCCGTCACAGTTTACTCTTCCGCCGACGAAGTTTCCAGAGCGTCCGCCCGCCATGATGCCTGGAAGTTTCCCGTTCCCCGCTGGTCCCGGCGGTTGGTTCATGCCTCCCGTCTCTCCCATGGCCGCGTATCCCGGCGCTTACAGCACTGCGTTTCCAAGCAGCAAGGCCAAGGCTGCTGCTGACGCGGAGGAGTCGGGTATCACTCCTGCTTCCGCTCCTGCTTCTGCTTCTGCTGCTTCTGCTGCTGCTCCTGCCGCTGCTTCTGCTGCCGCTGCGTCTACTGCCGCTGCTTCTGCTGGTGCTGGCGTGAATCATACTGCCACACCAGGCACTCCCGGTGCAGTTCCCACCTTTTTTAGCCCGACTCACTTTCCCCATCCTCACCTCCCCCATCAAAGCCCCTTCGCTCCACCCTACATGTCCCCCTACGCTCCGTACGCGCCCTGGTTCCATCCGGCCGTGATGACGTCAGCGGTGCCGGGAAACGCCGCGGAGGTGACGCAAGCAGGCGGGCAGGCGGCGCGAGCTGCGAGGTTGGAGCTGGTGGAGGTGGGATCTCCGAAAAAGGCAGCTTCTGGCGAAGCTTCCGCGAACGAAGAGGAGGAGGAGGTGGAGGAAAAATTAGGTGAGGGCACTGGGACGACGGGAGATACGAAGAAGGTTTTGGAAAATGAGTCAGTTCTGAAGCCCCTTGGAGCGGATGAGAAAGGAACAGGAGTTGAAGAGGCAGCAGCAGCAGCAGCAGCAGTGGGTGGTGGTGCGATGCCTGGAAAGAGCCAAACGGAGATGGTTGGTGTTACAGCGGCAAACGGAGGTGGTAACAGGAGCTCAGCCGCTGCTTACCCGCTCATGCTCCCGTATCCTTACGCGGATCCCAGGGCCCTCCCAGGTTTCGTGAACGGTTTTGGCGGGAATTCGCAGGGCGCATTGGGAAACATTGCAGCTGGTCCGGCTGGTGATGATGCTTATGCACCGACTTTCTGGTTCGGACAGGAGCCTTGGTTCGGGCAGGGGCCTTGGGTCAACCAGGCGCCTTGGTTTAGCCTATCGCCTTGGCTGCCTGCTTATACAGATAAGCTCCCTGCGCTTGGCTCGGGGCCTAATTATCCTCGTTATTGGCTTCCTCAGTTCTATCCTGCGCAACCCAATGCTGCAGTTCAGTTCTTTCCGCCTCGTCCCGCCGCAGCGTCCAGTGATACGCCGAGCGTAACTTGGAGCCTCGGTCCGAACCTGGGCGCGTATCCAGGTGCGTGGGGTGCCGAGCCTGGGTCCAGCGCATATGCAGCATTGCCTGCTCCAACGGAAATTTCTGCAGAGTTCCCCCTGCCTTCGGGTAATGCATCCTCACATGGGGTTGTAGCACCTGAAGCGGTTCCTGTGGCACCAGAAGCGGTTTCTGCTGCGCTTGAGTCACCTGCTGTGACACCTGCGGCAATTTCTGTGGAATCAGCATCAGCAGAAGGAGCAGGAGCAGCAGAAGCACCGACATCAGCAGCAGCTGCTGCAGCAGCTGAGGCAGTTTCTGTGGCATCAGCACCAACAACAGCAGCAGGAACAGGAACAGCAGTAGATGGGCCAGCAGCTGCAGCTGAAGCAGTTTCTGCAGCACCTGAGGCAGCATCTGAAGCAGCTGCTGCAGCACCTGAGACAGCACCAGAGGTGGCACCTGTGGCTCCTGAGGAAGTTTCTGCAGCACCTGAGTCGGCAACAGTGACACCTGAGGTGGCGACTGCAGCACCTGAGGCAACACCTGAGGTGGCACCTGAGGTGGCACCAGTGGCTGCGGCTCCTGAGGCGGTTTCTGTGGCACCTGAGGCAATTTCTGCAGCAACTGAGGCAGTTTCTGCGGCACCTGCTACGGCACCTGAGGATACACCAGCGGCCCCTGAGGTGACACCGGTGGCACCTGAGGTGGTGACTACATCACCTGAGACGACAACTGAGGTGGCACCCGCTGCACCTGAGGCAGTTTCCGCGGCACCTGAGGCAGTTTCCGTGGCACCTGAGGCAGTTTCCGCAGCACCTGAGGCAGTTTCCGCGGCACCTGAGGCAGTTACTGCAGCACCTGAGGCAGTTACTGCAGCACCTGAGGCAATTACTGTGGCACCTGAGGCAGTTACTGTGGCACCTGAGGCGGATTCTGCGGCACCTGAGGCAATTCCTGTAGTACCTGAGACGGTACCTGAGGTTACACCAGTAGCACCTGAGGCTGTTTATGCGGAACCTGAGGCTGTTTCTGCGGCACCTGTTGCACCTGTGGCTGCACCTGGACCTGAGACGGCACCTGAGGTGGCGCCTAAAGCACCTGAGGCGGTACCTGTGGCACCTGAGGCAGTACCTGCGGCACCTGAGGCAGTACCTGCGGCACCTGAGGCACGTGAGGCCGAACCACCTGTATCTGAACCATCTGCACCGGAAGCACCTGTAACCAAAGCACCTGTACCCGACGCAGCTGCTACCATCCGAACCACCAACACCGAGCCTCCTGAGCTGCCGAGGCAACTGGACGACCCAACCACAGCAACAGTCGCAGCCACCCGCATCCAATCCGCATGGAGAGGCCACTCCCTCCGCCTCACCAAGCCTCTCGAAGCAGCTCGGACCATAGCCGAGGTTCGGCGGCTGGCTCGGGAGATGGCAGAGAGGCTCGGTGAGGAGGGGTATGCGGCCAAGGTGGCGTCCGAACCAAAGGAGAAGCTTCGGGTGAATGAGACGATCATGAGCTGGTTGCTCCGGTTGGATGCGCTGCTCTCGCCGAACCAGGAGGTCCGGGAGCTGCGCCGGGGAGTGGTTCGGGAGCTGACAAAGCTGCAGGATCGGGTGGATTCTTTGAAGCCCACTGCTATGGCTGCCGAACCTGTTTCTGTGCCTGCCGAACCTGGTGTGGGAAAAGCTGCTGAACCTACCCCACCCACCTCCACGTCTTCCCAGTCCTACACCGCTCCAGTCCCTGCTGCTGCACCAGAGCAGCCGCCACAGAAGAAGCAGCAGCAGGAGAAGGACCAGTCATCGTTGCAGCAGCAGCAGCAGCAGCAGCAGCAGAAGCAACAAATTCTTGCCGAGGAAGGCAATGGGAAGGAATTGCCAGCCGCTAAGACGGCAGCAGCTGCCAATCCGCCTGCTAAAACAGGAGGCAAGCCACAGAGCAAGCCGGGTGCGTCGCTTCCTTTCAAGAAAGGCTTTCTGCTTGGTGAACCGACCAAGAAAGCGAAGAAGAGAGCAGATGCTGAGAGGACAATCAGCCCCGCGGGCAACTGTGAACGTGGCAGCAGCAGCGATGGTGACAAGGATAGGAGAAGCAGCAGCAGTGGTGGCAGCAGCAGCAACAGTGGCTGCAGCAACGGTGGGAACAGCAGCAGCAGCAGCAGCAGCAGCAGCAGCAGCAGTGGTGGTGGTGAGAGATTGGATGGGAAAGGCGGGGAGCAGAAAGTCACTGCTGGGGATGTGCAGAAGGTTGACGTGCAGTTCTGTGGGCGTGGGAGCGAGGGTCCTGAGGAGGTGCGAGGCAGGGTCACTGCTGGGGATGTGAGGAAAGGCGGGGAGAAGGCGAGCTGTGGTGGGGATGTGCAGAAGGTTGATGTGCAGTTATGTGGGCGTGGGAGCGAGGGTCCTGAGGAGGTGCGAGTGGTGTTCTGCAGCAGTGAGGAGAAGGGGCGAGCTAGGAAAGAGGAGAGGGAGGGGGAGAGGATTGAGGAGGAAAGGAAGGAGGAGTGGAAGGGGCAGAGGAAGGAGGAGGGGAAGGAGAAGGAGAAGGAAATGAAAAAGGAGAGGAAGGAGGAGGAAACGAAGGGGGACGAGGAAGGTCACAAGGAGGGGAGAGGTAAGGCGAGCTGTACTGGAGATGTGAGGAATGTTGACGTGCAATTTGGTGGGTGTGGGAGCGAGGGTCCTGAGAAGGTGCGAGTTGTGTTCCGCAGCAGTGGAGGGGGCAGCAGGGATGATGGGGTAGGGAGGTCAGATGGGTCAGGCGGTGAGGAGAAAGGCGGGTCAGGCGGAGGGAGCGAGGGTCCTGAGGAGGTGCGAGTTGTGTTCCGCAGCAGTGGAGGGGGCAACAGGGATGGCGGGGCAGGCGGATCAGGAGGCTTGAGTTGTAAGGAGGGAGAGGGTAATGTTCATGGTTCAGGGGTGGTTGGTGTCAAGGAGGAGAAGGGGAACAGTGGGAAAGAGGGTGGGGTGAAGAAAGTCGAGGAGAGGAAGCAGGAGAGGAAGGAGGAGAGGGAAGAGAAGGTTAAGGAGGGTAAAAAGGAGGAGAGGAAGGAGGAGAGGGTTCAGACGAAGGAGAAAATTGCAGATGGGAGGAATCAGGTTGATGAGGGCGTTCTTAAGGGAGGCAAGGGGAAGGAGATCGAAGAGGGGAGGGGGAGAGAGGAGGACGATGCCAAGAAAGGAGTCCCTGGAGCTAACTTCAGTGATTCACCTATCTTCCTCCACTATCTGCCGCATCTGCCACCCCTTGGAACCCCCGTCCACCACACCCCACACCCCCACAGTTCTCCTGCACCCATCTCCACTCCTCTCTACCTCCACCTTCCCCCAGTAACCCCCCTTGAGACATCCCCTGCTGCCCCATTCAGTCACTCCTCTTTCCAGCCCTCGCGTTCTAGTCACATGGCATCTCAGCCCAAGGGGGGTGCACCTGGCGTATCTGAGCTTTCACCTGAGGAAATCGCCTGGCAAATGGAGGCTCTGAGGCAGGAGAATGCACACCTGCGCCGGCTACTGTCCGAGCAGGGGCAGCAGCAGCAGCAGCAGAAGCATCAGAAACATGCAACAAGGACTGCTGGGGGATCTGGTGGAATTGAGGAGAGGTTGGATTGTTTAGAGAGGGAGATGGAGAGAGTGAAGGCTTGGCGTGACTGTGATTGTAAGGGGGGATGGGGTGGATATGGGAGGGAGCCGGTGGGGTGGTTCCTAGGGGGGCTCTAGATGGTTGTGAGAAGAGATATACCAGTACTTTTTACTGGAGGATTTCTGCTTGTATTTGAGTCGGTTTATGCCTGTTCTATCCCTTCCTTTTTGTGCTGTATTCTGTGAGATGTTAAACTGTAGTTTGCTTGTTCTTTTACATCAATTTAACCATACCAGTATTTGTCACTGGAAAACACAAGCCTTTCTAATCTATTGTCCTGACCCGCCAACCTTTAATCTGCCAGAACCCCTTCAACCATGCTGCGATCAGAAAGTGATCGTGACCAGGATCACCTCAGGAAGGTTCGCACACTTCTAGACTGGTGGTGGTGGGCCCTTGACCTCAATAGCAGAGTGAATGTAAATGCTTGAGATGATTAAAAACATGCAGTACAAGGAATATAAATATGAATACAGGGGAATTCGAAACGACCTAGCTAGCCATGTACTCTAAGGGGTACATTCCCTTATTACAGTGAATTCCAACCGTGCGACTCCGAGTGGTTACGTAACTGTTCGGGCAGAATCCTCGCCACTGCTGCTGCCTGATGCTGTCTGCCCGACGGTCCAGATGCTTTACGTAACCGTGTGACTCTTCGGGTCACTTGCGCCCTTTCGTCTTCATTCTAGGTAGTGCGTGCTTCGGTTGCTGCGGAGAGGAGTGTTTAGCAGTGTTTCAATAATCACTGTTCGTAACAAACCACACTACAGCAATGAATAAACAAGTTAATCGACCAGTGCCAAACCTTGAAGGCATACACGTGGCTTCAGCTCAGCTTCCTGAGTTTGCATTCCAAGAAGCAGAGACCTGCTACGGACACATGAGGTGGTGTAAAGCTGCACAGCAGATGAGAGGCAATGAAAACGAGGCAGTGAGCTGAGGTGCCAGGGGCAGTGAGATGCCAGGGGCAGTGAGGTGCCAAGGGCAGTGAGGTGCCAGGGGCAGTGAGATGCCAGGGGCAGTGAGGTGCCAGGGGCAGTGAGGTGCTAGGGGCAGTGAGATGCCAGGGGCAGTGAAGATGAATTTATACTGCCAAGGGCAGCCGAGGTTGTGTAGTGCTGCTGTCGTGCTGCACAGCAGATGAGAGGGAATGAAGACGAGGCAGTGAGAAGCCCTTTGGATGGTGCGAGGTTGTGATAGGTTGGGATAGGTACCACCAGGGACAGCCTAAGTTCCCAGTGCTGCCATCGTGACAGCTTAGCTGCTTCCGTCATGCTGCACAGCAGATGAGGGGGAACGAGAGTGAGGCAGTGAGAAAAGCATTTGGATGGATGGTATAACAACGTTGTACCGTACATGCCACAGGTTGTAGGTATGCTATTATTACAGAGGGACATCCAGCATGACTGTAACGGGACTCGGGCTGGGCTTTTGAAGCAAACATCTATAACACGATTGTAACGTACAGGATGACGAATTCACGTACCAAACGTGCACGTACCAAACGTACCAAACGTGCTGGGTGTGAATGAAAACGTTACTAAACGCTCCAGATGACCCATCACGGCTGTACTGAATTTGAATTTGATGAACAAATATCTTCACAACTGATAGGCTCTTCACTGACCTGATTTTCTGACAGCATTTCTGATGTTGTCCCTAATCCACAGGTTTTTTATAGGAAATGGTGGGATATGACTTCATCGGCGATAGAGCCCAAAGATGTGTCCCTGAAGCCAATCAATGCACGGAAGGCACAGGACAGCAAGTGGGAGAGAGAAATGGAGAAGAGACTTTGAATGGGCGGTGTATTTAAAGGGCTGTCCTGATATCCGGTTCAATTAGATGCTATCGCTCTGCTAAACTGGGTAATGATTCTGCATAAATGAATTGTCAGCACCATTCAGACTCACATTATGACAAATTGTAACTCTGGCAAGAATACACTCCAGTGTATCGCATACATTACTATCCAGCACAGGCTGAGCATCCCATATCTGTACGCCATGCATGGGGAAGAGAAAAGGGGGAAGGAGGAAAAAAGGGGAAGATGGGGAAACAGGGTTGGGTAAGGGCCCGTACGTCAAGAGATTCTCAACAGTGCGCTTTGGATAGACTGCTTTAGGGGTCATAAATGCTCATTATGAGTTCGGCAGTGTAGCTTTCATAACGCAACGTTTTTTTAACAGGCATTGGTTACTGTAGATACCTGGGCCGGGCAGAACGGGCAGATATCGCCCTCCAGAGGTTCCGAGCTGTTTTCCAGCACTGAACGCACACTGATGTTTGGGAGCATGTTTACAGGGAGGGAGGTAGAGAGGGGTGAATGTTGGCAGGTGGGGGAACAGGAGGGCATGGGGCATTCAGAAGGGGCAGATATCGCCCTCCAGAGGTTCCGAGCTGTTTCCAACAGGGAACGCACGCTAATGTCAGGGGGCATGTTAATAGGAGGGCAGAAGGGGCAGATATCGCCTTTCAGAGACTCTGAGTTGTTGGCAGGAAGGGCAAGTAACGCACACTGCTGTCCGGGAGGATATTGGCAGGGGGAGATTTGGACATGTTGGAAGGGAAGCAAGGAGGCCATAGGCATTTGAGGATGGTTCTTGAGCCGACTAGCGGCAGATATTTCCCTCCAGAGGCTCTGAGTTGTTTTCCAACAGGGAACGCACACTGATGTCCGGGGGCATGTTAGCAGGGGGGTAGAGAGGGGAGATGTTGGCAGGGGAAACAGGGGACCAAGGGACATTGAGGAGGGCTTTTGAGAAACAGAGGCTCTGAGCTGCTTTCCAACAGGAAAGATTTCTCCTTCCAGAGGCTCTGAGCTGTTGGGATTCAACAGGGAATGAATTTTGAGGCGCCTCAAAAGCCTTCCAGAGGCTCTGAGCTGTTGGGATTCAACAGGGAATGCACGCAGATGCCCAGAGGCATGTTGGCAGGGGGCGGGGGGGGGGAAACATGCTGGGAGGGGGGAAAGGGGCATGTAACATGCGAGGAAGGCATTTGGGGGTGCTCAGAGAACAAAGACTCTTTAAGCTGTTTCCCAACGCTGAAAGCACACTGTTATGAGAGGCTTGTCGGCTGGGGGACAGGGGAATGGGGGGCATAGGCAGGAGGGCAAGTAAACGGGGGGTCAGGAGTGGCAGGGGAGCACAGTGCGTTAGGCATTTGGACGAGGGGAACGTGGGATACATTCGAGCAAAGGGAGTTTTTGAGAATTCTAAAAAACTCCCTGAATTCTCAAAAACTCCCTGAATTCTAAAAAACTCCCTGAATTCTCAAAAACTCCCTGAATTCTCAAAAACCCTGATTGGACGAGGGGAACATGGGATACATTCGAGCAAAGGGAGCACAGGGTATAGGAACTTTGGCAGTAGGGGGAAGGCAAGAGGGGTAGGTGAGCAGGAGGGCAGGAGGGCAGGAGGGCGGAAGGGCAGGAGGGCAGGAGGGCGGCAGGGCAGGAGGGCAGGAGGGCGGCAGGGCAGGAGGGCAGGAGGGCGGCAGGGCAGGAGGGCAGGAGGGCGGGAGGGCAGGAGGGCAGGAGGGCAAGAGGGGCAGGTGGGGCAGGGAAGCATGGAGCAAGGGGGGCATGGGGCAGGGGAAGCAGGTGGGGCAGCAGAGCATGGAGAAAGGGCGGCATGGGGCAGGAGCATGGAGCATGGAGCATGGAGCATGGCGCATGGAGCATGGGCGGCATGGGGCATGGAGCATGGGGGGCATGAGGCATGGAGCATGGGGGGCATGGGGCATGGAGCATGGGGGGCATGGGGCATGGAGCATGGGCGGCATGGGTCATGGAGCATGGAGCACGGGGGGCATGGGGCATGGAGCATGGGGGGCATGGGGCAGGAGCAAGATGGGGCGGATGAGTGTCTGGGAAGGAGAGAGAGAAGCGAGAAGGGGATTGGGGAGCAGGGCCTCGCCCTTCTCAACCAGAAACCAGCGAAACCGCCTGTAACGATTCGTGTCTGCAGGAAATTTTTTAGAATTCTCAAATATACTCTGCAACATCATCGATTGGGGAGCAGGGCCTCGCCCTTCTCAACCAGAAACCAGCGAAACCGCCTGTAACGATTCGTGCCTGCAGGAATTTTTTTAGAATTTTCAAATATACTCTGCAACATCATCGATTGGGGAGCAGGGCCTCGCCCTTCTCAACCAGGAACCAGCGAAACCGCCTGTAACGATTCGTGTCTGCAGGATGAGAGCGTCTGTCTGGTGCAGACTACTTTTGAGTCGACTCAAAAGCAGAAACCAGCGAAACCGCCTGTAACGATTCGTGTCTGCCGGATGAGAGCGTCTGTCTGCTGCAGACTACTTTTGAGTCGACTCAAAAGCAGAAACCAGCGAAACCGCCTGTAACGATTCGTGTCTGCAGGATGAGAGCGTCTGTCTGCTGCAGACTACTTTTGAGTCGACTCAAAAGCAGGAACCAGCGAAACCGCCTGTAACGATTCGTGTCTGCAGGATGAGAGCGTCTGTCTGCTGCAGACTACTTTTGAGTCGACTCAAAAGCAGAAACCAGCGAAACCGCCTGTAACGATTCGTGTCTGCAGGATGAGAGCGTCTGTCTGCTGCAGACTACTTTTGAGTCGACTCAAAAGCAGAAACCAGCGAAACCGCCTGTAACGATTCGTGTCTGCAGGATGAGAGCGTCTGTCTGCTGCAGACTACTTTTGAGTCGACTCAAAAGCAGAAACCAGCGAAACCGCCTGTAACGATTCGTGTCTGCAGGATGAGAGCGTCTGTCTGCTGCAGACTATTTTTGAGTCGACTCAAAAGCAGAAACCAGCGAAACCGCCTGTAACGATTCGTGTCTGCAGGATGAGAGCGTCTGTCTGCTGCAGACTACTTTTGAGTCGACTCAAAAGCAGAAACCAGCGAAACCGCCTGTAACGATTCGTGTCTGCAGGATGAGAGCGTCTGTCTGCTGCAGACTACTTTTGAGTCGACTCAAAAGCAGAAACCAGCGAAACCGCCTGTAACGATTCGTGTCTGCAGGATGAGAGCGTCTGTCTGCTGCAGACTACTTTTGAGTCGACTCAAAAGCAGAAACCAGCGAAACCGCCTGTAACGATTC